ARRAARGSYTTGAAAAGCTGCGAAGCAGGAAAGGAGGGACAGGTTCGGGAGAGAGAGCAAAAWGTGTCCGACTCCTCTGAAGGCCAAGCAGGAAAAATATTGCTAGAACATTGCCATCAAAAATCAAAATAAAATTAAATAAAAATAAAATAAAGCCATGCATCTCTGTTCTCTATGACTGTTGTARAAACAGCAGAACTAACGTGGCAGTCCTGTGAAGAAGTGGGCAGTGTCTCCACTTGGGTTACCAGGTGAGGGGCTAGGCTCGTCTTGGTCACCGGGATTGTGATGTCACTATTCCCAGGTTTTGGAAACCGCTTGTTCACTGACATTAAAAAAAAAACATTTACATATTGTCAAAAAACAACTGGGAGTATTTTTTGTGCTTGGACTGTTTCTGGGAGCAGTACAGACCTAAATTGAAGCATGAAAACATTGAAAAAAGTGAATTTTGCATAATAGGTCCCCTTTATTAACACAAATAATAATTAGAATAATGAAACTGGCATTTTTAAAATAAATTTATAYTTCTTATTGCACTGCATGCCTACAAGTTTTAGACAAGATTTCAAGTAATATTAGTTATGTGTGTGTTTGTTTCTGCAGGGTTGGTTCAGTCCCGGTCAGGTATTTGTTTTGGACGAATACTGTGCTCGCTATGGAGTTAGAGGCTGCCATCGGCATTTATGTTACCTTGGTGATCTGCTGGAGAGAGCAGAAAATGGTGCCATGATTGACCCCACACTTCTTCACTACAGCTATGCCTTCTGCGCCTCTCACGTTCATGGAAACAGGTACATTTCACATCGTCTAGAAAACCTTTTTTTAGAAGGGTTTCTATATTGATGGAATTTCAAATTGTTTTGTTTAAGATTAAATAAAACACACACACACAACTGTACCAAACATGACAGCAAGTTCTGAAATAACACTTTAACATTATGTTAGGAAAAAAAAGACAATTAAAAAGTATGTTTGCTTGTGGCCCTGTTTAAATTCATTGTCTTTTGTATCTTATAGCTTGTATGTACTTTTGTTTGATTTTTCTTTCCTTGTTTGTGAAATTTTTATTTGATTTTTGCACACTCATCTCTTTTTGTCTTTTTTTCTTGTATACCTTATTTACCTTTTTTTCCGTATTAACTTTCCTTCCACTAAACCCCAAACACTGCATTTCCTCATAATCACACCTAGTCAACGTGTGTCTGAGTTGGTAAACTGGCCAGTTTCTGAGGCTGAACTTGAACGAGCCCTGTTCCCCTCCACCCCAGACTCTCCCACTCAAACAGCTAAAAGAGAGCTCAGAATAATTGAATTCATAAAGAAAAGGGACTTCAGAGCTGCAGTTTTCTCAGAAACCAGAAGGTAAGTAACAATCCTAAAATGACCTCAATRAAATTAGAGTAACGTGAGTTTGACAAGCACTATAATTTGTGGTAAATATATTAATTGAAAAAAAAAAGAAGTAAATTACAAGTTTACATGAAACATGGCAGGAAAATGACCCAAAGCTCACTGCCAACAAAACAAAGGACTTTATCAGGGGAAATAACTGGAAGGTTTTAGATTGATCATCAMTCACCTGACCTTAACGCAATAGAGCATTTCACCTCCTGAAGAARAGCCTGATGGGAGAAACAGAACACGCAGAAAGTAAATGGAAGTAATTTGCACAGGGTTGGTGATAAATCACACATATAGGAATCAATCTGCACCAAATTTTAATGTGCATCGTGATCACTTTAGGTGCCTGTTTGTCCATTCGTCTGTTCACYTTATGARATTATTTAAATAATGAAGGCCTGTGATGATTCCAACAAAACTGCAAACAGTTGCTCACTACTGAATGGTGACGGGGGACATCAGCTATGGTTCATGCTGAGTTCTGTCTTGTTAAAACACATTTGTACTCATTGGCTTTTAACCCAACTGCATATATTTGCATATTCTCTCTGTGAATCCGGGTACTCCGGCTTCCTCTCACAGACCAAAAACATGACTCTTGGGCTAATTTATAACTCTAAATTGTCCCTAGGTGTGAGTAAAATAGTGAAAAGTTGTTTGTCTTATTTGTCTCTATGTGTGGCTGCTGGAWATGGGCACCAGTGACCCCCAGACATAAGCATTAGTGTAATGATTGGTGTGGAACCCAAAATGCAGGCAGACACGAGGACTTGAATGCAAAGCAAAACTGATTTAATGAAACAAAAAGGCTGGCGTGGCAGCAAAAATACAAAAGAAAACATGGACAGAGACGAGGCATGAAAGGCGATGATCCACCAGGGTGAAGAAGACATAACATTGGTTAAATACAACTGAGGATGATTGGGGAGTGGAAGCACATGGGTGATTACTGACTATGGACATGTGAGTGTGGCAGGCTGGAAAAATACTAAGAAGCTACTGAGGATAACATGATACAGGAAATGGAGAAAACTAACAAGAAATTAGAAAATTAGACAAGATGACCAAACAATGGAAAACAATCTGAAAAATACTAACAAAAWTAACCATAACACAAGAATCATGACAATTAGATAACACTTCAATTTCTACATCAGAGGCAGTGGCGGATGCTGGTCTTTCAACAAGAGGAAACTCAGTTTCGGCCTACATCATAAAATGTGTGGGCTATAAATTCTACCCTCCGTTCCTTTTCAAGAAAAGGATCTGTGACCCTGTCACAGATAATTTTGAGATCATTTTCTTTAGTTTATAGT